AAAATCAAGATATAAATGGGCTGCCCCTAGTAATATAACTATAACATAAGGTTATGGTGTAGATGTTATGTGAGATGCACACACCACAATCTTAGAGCTGTGATGCATGTCATGTTGGAGACGACTATGATGAAGGCTAAGCTATAGTGTTTTATAGCAAGATGATGTTTATTATATTGGTTTTATGATGGTTCAGGTTAGGTTATGATGATAATTGGAAAGTACAATTATTGTAACAAGGTTCTATTTAGAGAAAAATCAAGATATAAATGGGCTGCCTCCAGTAATATAACTAAAACATAAGGTTATGGTGTAGATGTTATGTGAGATGTGTACACCACAATATAACATGGATGTGCAGGAATTGATGCTCTAATGATAGCTTGTAGGAATTCTCGAAGGATTTGAGTAACTATTCAAACTCGTTTATTCTAAAATGTTATATATCTATTACAACTCTTGAATTCATTTTCAGATTCTGAGTCAGAGGATGTTTTCTCAATGTCGACCTACTCAGCCATCCTACGCAGCTTCGATAAGAACTGGCTGGGTGATGGTATTACGCTAATATTTTTTCAAATATGTACATCTTATTACCACGACTAATTGCATCGATTGCTCTGAGTTAAAATTTTGACTGCTTCTTGAAAAATATAATTTTTGTGATATATGTTATCATTGATTCGAGATCATCCAAAATTATTGTGAAAAAGTCTAACCAATTTTATAAAAAATATTTCAATCTCTTGGAAAAAAAAAAGTCATCTGTCAAAAATAGTTCAAAAGATAAAAGAGGCTTGTTCGATCTCAAGTACAGACTCTAATCGGTTAGACGACTACAGAGTAAATGAAAATTGAAACTTTTCGTCAAGGGCCTTTTTGAAACTCCAATTGTATAAATTTATTTACATATATTAAAGTGAACTCTGATTTAGCCATCTCAAAAATTCCAAAATAAAATTTATTGCAAATATCCCCCTCAAGGACTAGTTCATAAAACTTTTGATTTAAAATTGGTCATCAAGGAGCTCTTCTAGAAAAGTTAATGGCGGACGTTGTCTTTTATGGTTAGCAGTATGTCCAAATCATAATGGGCCTAATGAAGAGAACTGACTGTGCTATCAATCCAGTTGGTTTAACAGCTATTTATTTTAATTTGTGGCCCATTGATTAGAGGATAAGATTACTTCATTAAGATGATGACTCGGAGCCACATTATCTTTCAGCGGCATTTACATACATGCCACATAATTCAGATGTATTTGCATGTCTGACGCCTGAACTTCATTGTTTACATTCATAACACTAAAAAATTTAACATCACATCAGAAATATCATCAGAAACACATTTTTATGCATTGGTTCATAACATCAAAGTGTTATAAATATAGAAAGATTTATATGTTACCTCTATATCTGAACTTCTATATATATATATAAAGCTAGGAAAGCTGGCAGCTTAACATGGTTTTAATGAGACAATCGCCAAAACAATGATGTGCAGCACTTCATTAGCCTCGTAATAGTGAATTGAAGAAAATGAATTTGGACCCCAACAATTATTGAAGACTTTCATGCACGTCAATCCTCCCTAAGAAATATAAATAGAAATTCTCAACCCTTTCTAAGGGATAAACAAGTTATCTCAAAATTTTTATGATAGAATATTAAAATATTGCCGGCATGGAGCAAATCAACTTAGTTGGCTGGCAACGCCGACTCAGCTTAGCCGAGTGTAGCGATTTTATTGAGCCGAGGTCATAGCAGCCCAACCCGTCGAGCTAGAAAGCAGCCAAAAGATACACTTACATCTTCAATTAAAGTAGGGGTAAAAATATAATACCTTTATATTGTATTATCTCTCCTATAAATAGAAATATCATTTTATGAGAAAAAGATGTTAGACAATATGTTTTATCGTTGATGATTGCTCACCCCCCCCTCTCTCTCTCTCTCTCATTCTTTTTTAAGTTCTATTCCTTAGAGTGTAATTCACAGACAAATCATGATTCAACGAATATAAAATTAAGATGATTGATATTTAGTTTTAAAAATATACACATTGATCAATCTAATTAGTTTTGTTATAACTATAGGATGGTAAAAGAAATATAAAAAAAAGCATTCATTCATCTCCTAAAATCATAATTATTAGTAGCCATGTATATATTATAAATTACATAGCCTTTAATTGATTTACAATATTTTAGGTCATAAAATTAGTCATCAATTCATTTTAAACAACATTAAAATCTTTTAGGGACCTTTTGGTTGCACGCATTATCAATGTATTATAAATGAAACGTGATGGTTTCAAAACTTGGCATTTTGTTGAATAAAAAAATGGATTGTTGTGTAACATATTGCCAAATTTGGAATCCACCATTTAGTTCAAAATCGATGTATTTATAAATAGACCAAATCAGTCATTTTCTGAATAATTGCACGAGCTACGATAACAACCATCATGTTCGATCGCTGCAATTACAAGCCATTGTGGCCCATCATTGTTGTTGATCAGTTTCCAATGTTTACCACTATTACCCACTAGCGGCTTTCGCATTGATTTTATCTTGTTTCAAGTTAAACATAAGAAAAATATAATAATTTGTATTTATTTTTTACTTAATTGAACAACTCAAACCTAATTCAAATGCACTATTAATTTATTGCATTTATTTTTCACAAATGAAATGATTATTTATTCATTTTCTATAAATTAAAAATATACCAATTTTATGAGTTGATACATGACTACATCAACATAAGTTTTATAAATTTTGATGTCCAATAATTTTATTGCGCCTTATATTATCTATCTATCTATCTATCTATCTATCTAACAAAGTTTATACGTAAATATATAGACATTGAAGGATATTATAGTAAATCTATGTAGAATTATAAAGTTTTATTGTCTGCTCCTTTGAAAGGGGTTGGCACTGAGTAAAGAGGAAAAAATATTACATCAGGACTTCTAAGGTAGAACTATGTTCGAATTTGAATCTTCAGTTGTGTTACTTGAATATTAGGAAAAAATATTACATCAGGACTCCTAACGTAGAGCTATGTTCGGATTTGAATATTCAGTTGTGTTACATAAATATTTCATTTGAGTTATTTGTAAAAATGATATCTTATTCGAGTATTATATGATGTTATTCAATTATTTTGCAGTGTTATTGAAATATTCCATCACGTTACTTGATTTTTTGCTGAAGTGTTATTGAAATATTCCCCCACATTACTTGATTTGGGCTATGTTATTCCACTAATATGGACAAATAACATAGCCCTAAATCAAATAATGACATGAAATATTTCATTAACACCTTCAGCTTAGCCGAGTGTAGCGATTTTATTGAGCCGAAGTCATAGTAGCCCAACCCGTCGAGCTAGAAAGCAGCCGAAAGATAGACTTACATATTCCATTAATGTAGGGGTAAAAATGTAATACCTTTATATTGTATCCTCTCTCCTATAAATAGAGAGATCATTTTATGAGAAAAAGAGGATAGACAGTATGTTTTATTGTTGATGATTGCTCACTCCTTTCTCTCTCCCTCATTCCTTCTTAAGTTCTATTTGTTAGAGTGTGATTCACAGACAAATCATGATTCAACAAATATAAAATTAAGATGATTGATATTTACTTTTAAAAATCTACACATTGATCAATCTAATTAGTTTTTTTATAACTATAGGATGGTAACCTAAAATCATAATTATTAGTAGCCATGCATATATTATAAACTACATAACCTTTAATTGATTTACAATATCATAAAATTAGTCATCAATTCATTTTAAACAATATTAAAATCTTTTAGGGACCTTTTAGTTGCACGCATTATCAATGTATTATAAATGAAACGTGATGGTTTCAAAACTTGGCATTTTGTTGAATAAAAAAATGGATTGTTGTGTAACATATTGCCAAATTTGGAATCCACCATTTAGTTCAAAATCGATGTATTTATAAATAGACCAAATCAGTCATTTTCTGAATAATTGCACGAGCTACGATAACAACCATCATGTTCGATCGCTGCAATTACAAGCCATTGTGGCCCATCATTGTTGTTGATCAGTTTCCAATGTTTACCACTATTACCCACTAGCGGCTTTCGCATTGATTTTATCTTGTTTCAAGTTAAACATAAGAAAAATATAATAATTTGTATTTATTTTTTACTTAATTGAACAACTCAAACCTAATTCAAATGCACTATTAATTTATTGCATTTATTTTTCACAAATGAAATGATTATTTATTCATTTTCTATAAATTAAAAATATACCAATTTTATGAGTTGATACATGACTACATCAACATAAGTTTTATAAATTTTGATGTCCAATAATTTTATTGCGCCTTATATTATCTATCTATCTATCTATCTATCTATCTAACAAAGTTTATACGTAAATATATAGACATTGAAGGATATTATAGTAAATCTATGTAGAATCATAAAGTTTTATTGTCGGCTCCTTTGAAAGGGGTTGGCACTGAGTGAAGAGGAAAAAATATTATATAAGGACTCCTAAGGTAGAGCTATGTTCAAATTTGAATATTCGGTTGTGTTACATGAATATTAGGAAAAAATATTACATCAGGACTCCTAACGTAAAGCTATGTTCGGATTTGAATATTCAGTTGTGTTACATAAATATTCCATTTGAGTTATTTGTAAAAATGATATCTTATTCGAGTATTATATGATGTTATTCAATTATTTTGCAGTGTTATTGAAATATTCCATCACGTTACTTGATTTTTTGCTGAAGTGTTATTGAAATATTCCCCCACATTACTTGATTTGGGCTATGTTATTCCACTAATATGGACAAATAACATAGCCCTAAATCAAATAATGACATGAAATATTTCATTAACACCTCAAAATAATCGAATAACACTATATAATACTCAAATAATATATAATTTTTATAAATAATATAGATAAAATATTCCCATAACACACTCTAATATTTCAAACCCATAGTCAGTAGTACTCATGTAATATTTGTCCGGGTGAAAGAAGCGGGAACCCTCGTCCCCGCAGTCAGGAGTACTGAGACTGACTGTCCATGGCGTGGTACGATGGAATGAAGGAGCCACGTCTCGTGATCTGTCCCGGTAAACTTCAGCCATTTTAATATAACTGTATCCTTTCTTTCAAGCCGTTATCGTTATTACTCTCTTTGCTGCGTCTCGTTGTTCTTGTATTGGTCTATGTTTTAGCGTTAATGTTCTATTTAGGGTTTGTCCGATCGGTCAACTTGGATTTATTGGTCAATGTTGATCATCAGTGGCTGTATTTTTTTATCTTTGTTGCAGTGAAAGCCACACAAGATGTAAATCAAAATGAAAATAGAAGCGGCGAAGGATGCATTTTGTCTTTGATTCATCCAAAATCAGGTATATATTTCTTTGAATTTGTTATCTGGTTTCGATGTTCATTTCTAGGTAGAACTGCCTGGTATCCAAAATTTCTAATTGCGTGTTCTTGCCATGGTTATCCCTCTCGTTTTCCATCAGGGTGCTATAAATCGAAATTGTATCAATGGCTTTAGTTGCACGCAGTTTGCTAAGATAAGGCTACGCCTTGTTTAATATACTTAATGATTTGTGTGGCTCGTTCGAACATGTCCGAGAAAGTAGAAACAAATCTTAGGCTGCTACATGTTTTACTTTGTGTGATGAATAAAAGAAGTTGTTTTAACATTAGGAAGGATCACTTGTCCTTTTTTTTTTTTTTTGATAAAATCTCATAGAAGACCCTCAGCCCATAAAGCTAAGATAAGGGTGCGCCTTGTTTTTAAATGTTCTCAATTTCTTACATGCCATTGTATCTCATTTTTTACTTCTTTTATGAGTATTTTCTTGACCAAATTAAAATGATACGGTCTTAACGTTGATCCTTGATTTAATTTTACTTTTATTTAGAATTCTTTGGTTACTCCACTATTGTTTTTAATGCTAGACAACACTTACGAAAATAACTATGTGGTGCATAGCATTAATAAAGTCATGTGAAATCTATTTCCATCTCTTTATAATTTTTCATTAGTTGACAGCATAAAAATCACCTTCTTATTGGATAATTTTAGTGTAAGACTGAAATGATTCTTTAATTTTGATATTTTTTCTAAATTTGTATTTCAATTTTCTCTCTATTAACTTAATTGCATGCCTCATAAAGTGAAACTTTAGTTATGTTAACATTTTCTTTAAAATTGCAGAAGCTTAAAATTTAAGTGGCCAATTAGGCATTTTAAATGCTTCATTTGCACTAATACCTGAACCCTTAAGCTATTATGAATTAAATATTTTGCATTTTGTGATCTTGTTGAGCTCATTGAAGTGATCATTTATTAAACCACGCTCTTTAGTTCTACACACTTCATGACAAAATTAGATTCACATATTTTGGTTTTTGACTTTTTTTAACAGGAAATCCAACATCTTATATGTTAAAGGATGGGCTTCTTCAAGAATTTCACTGGTTTAAGCAATGTTATGGTTCTTGGTTCCTAGGTGATTATGCATGTGAAGGTAAGTCTAATATTTTGATTCAATTTCTTTTTTAAAATATTATTCACATTAATAGAATTCACATTCTGAATTTCTTTTAGATATGGTGTTCTAAATATTATTTGAATGTTTGGATTCTTGGAATAAGCTTTTGTGATTGAAAAATCATTTTTGATAAGCATGGAAATATCATCTTTAATTTAGGATTCGTTTGGGATTTTTTTTGCTAATTTAAGATTCGTTTGAGGAGTAAAGTTGCCTATATTCAGCAACAACTCATTAACTTAGGAATCAACTTGCACTATAATGATCTAATTTGGGTTAAAGAAGTTTCAACGATGCATGCAAGTGTATAAAGTAATATAACTACCTTGTATGTATGTTGAATGGTTAGTTATAGTACACACTGTCTTAGCTACTAAACTACTTGTTCTGGGAGATTTACTAGTTTTTAAGCTGCTTTTTGCCATTGTAAGCGGGATAACCTGCAGAACATTAAGCATGCTTGTAGATTTATGTCATGATGCAATACTAACTGCAATTTTTCCTGCAATCAGGAAGATAAGTAGTTGATCGATAGGCATGTGTGCAGCTTATGTTAGCTGAATTTGAGAGATAATTAGGGCACATATCCTTTGTTACTTTGTCAGTTATCATAATTTTTTGAAGTTTGGAGAGCCAAAAAACATGGAAGTTCTTCATATATTATAACGACACCATTCTAGGGTTACTAATTGGTGTATAAGGATCTAGGAAAGGGTTACATGGCTGTAGGATGAGAATAGATGGAAATTAAAATGAGGTGGGGGTGCTTGGGAATGAATCGGAGAGCTACAACAGCTGCCTTGGGTGAAAAGTGAGAACAACCATGGGAAAGGATGTTGGTAAGCATTAAAATGTATTCAGAAGTCTGGAAGATTTACCGCCTGTCTCCCATCAAGTTACAATCACACTACCTAAAATAGAAGAGGGTATAACACTCTAAGCGGAGATAAAAATAGAGAAACAAGTAAAAATAACATAAAATTAACTAAAAGTTGCCTAAAACCAGCACAGAGCAAAATATATATGAAAAATCTCCCTAGGTAACCCTAATCCTAATTAACGCACGCAAATATAAGTCGTAAGGGTTGGTCGACCTAACGGGATTTAGAAAAACCCACACTAGTTCGGCTCATGCCTTCCCGAAGAATCCCTAGACGGACATCCCGTGACTTTTTTTTTTTTTTTTCGTTGGAGCAAAAATTATAGCTCCCATGCATTCTCCCAGGGTGGGAGGGACCTCACCTTCATTACTAGGAGCGTTTGAATCCTTGTAGTATTGAGACAAGATGCTAACGTTAAAATTATTAGAAATATTATAATTTCTCATTAGATTAATCTTATAAGCATTGTCAGTAACTTTGACAATTCTGAATAGACATTCTGCTCTAGGCTTGAGCATCTGAAATGAACCCGCAGGAAGTTATTTCTTTAGCCTGAGCCACACCAAGTCCCCTTCTTTGAAGACCATGATTTTATTTGTCTTGTTAGCCCGTCTCTGACTGTTGATGTTCTGTTTTGCAATGTACTTCTTTAGCCTGAGCCACACCAAGTCCCCTTCTTTGCAATGTATTTCTTCACTTACTCATGTAAGGTCTGTACCTCTCTAACTTTGGCCTTAGATCAATACTAAACCTAGTAGTGGGAAGAATATGTACATCTAACAACGAGAGACAGTTTTGCTTGTATACAATCTCAGAGGGACTGTTGTTAGCAAACTCAACATGAGGGAGAACCAAATCGTCCTAGTGTTGTTTTTTCCCATAAAACATCTAAGTAGATTTCCCAAATTTCGATTCACCATTTCTGCTATTCATCTATTTGAGGGTATGCTGTTGAATTGAATTGTAGCTTTTTACCCAACTTACTCTAAATGGTCCTCCAAAAAATGCTAAATATTCATGTTGTTTAACTGATGGTCTTGGATATTCCATCATGCGGGCAATCTCCTTGAAATATAAATATGCAATATTTGAAGGGTTTATCATCTTGTGACAATGTCAAATATGTTATCATCTTGGAAAAGTGGTCCACTATCACCATAATCGAATCATTGCTTCGTTATGTATTTGGGAGCCCCACAACAAAGCTCATCCTTAGATCCAACCAAGGTGATTCTAGAACGAGAAGGGGAGTGTACCTATTTTCTACTCTGGGTTTTGGCTAAGTGATATACCTTGCAATATTGAACATGTCTTTTCACATATTGTGTCAACTCATGCCAGTAAAAGTTCCCTTTTATTGTGGAAAGGTCCAACCATCCCTCCATTGTTGCACTCCTAACAATGTTCTCTGTGACTAAACTTCTAAGAATGCATCATTTGTTTGATAGAACAAATGACGATTCAATATATGAAACTATTCGTACGGTTTTTCTTGACAATGAATACAAATATTATGGAAATCCCCATGAGTTGTGTATCCCTTACTAACTCAATGCTAATTACCTTTGAATGCATAGTAGTGATCAATAAGAGATAATGACTCAATGACTGTGGGCTAGATTAGTTCACAATAGCTTCGATCTTCATATGGTCTATCTTGATGCTGGTATCTGAAACAATATATCCAAGAAAGCATGTTTGCTGTGTTAGAAAATGATACTTTGGGTGGTTATATGACTGCTATATTCGTAGAACTCTAAACACCTGTCACAATTGCTATAAATGCTCCTCATTTGAACTACTGTATAATAAAATATGGTAAAAATACATAATCATAATTTGTTTATGAAGGCTTGAAAAACTTGGTTTATCAGCCTTGTAAAGGTGCTTTGGAGGCATTGGACATGCCAAAAGGTACGTTCATCAACTCACACAATTCATCCCACATCTTGAAGGCTGTCTTTCACTCATCATTGGGCCTTCACTCCGCAAGTCTATCTTGAAAAATATGCATTCTCCATGCAATTGATCCAATAAATCATTCAATCTTGAAATATATAATGGGTATTTAATGACGAGCTTGTTCACTGCTCTGTTGTCAATACATATACGTCACAATTTATTTTTAGACATAATTAAGGCTGACAGAACACAAAGACTGATACTCTCACGATTAACTCCAGGGTCATTCAATTGACATTTTGTTTCTCCAGCTCATACTCTACTAGTAGCTTTAGGTTAGCTGGTCGGTTTGGGAGCACTAATCCTGGAATGGGAGTTATGGCATGTTGAATCCCATGCAACGGTGGTAATTCATAGGGTAAGCTATCAGTCATGACATCTTGAAACTCCTCCAATATAGTTCACATCATCTCATGTATCTACTCCTCCCTCTCACTATCACTAGGATCAGTCCCACTGTTGTCTCTCATAGCTTGTAAAAAATTAGCACAAGGTATCATAGCTTCTTTTCTGTTTGAGTACTCATCACTGCTTACTTATTCGAAGGTAGAAAGATAATATGCTTCTTGTCCTTCATAAATGATTAGTTATTTTTGTGGCCATTATGAAGTGCATCTTTGCCATATTGCCATGGTCGACCCAATAGAAGTTGACATGCATGCATCTACAGAATATCACACCACACTTGATATTGTAGCTTGTCTCAAATGGACAACTCTTCCAAACATCTCTTATCAACTGATCTCATTCTCGTTTTTCAACCAAGTTAAATTGTGATTGAGATTGTTTCTTTGTAGTGAGGTTTAATTTGTCCACCATCTAGACAAACACCACATTTTTATAATTGTATCTGTTTATAAGCATACCTTCTCATTCATTATGTAATGAGTACGAAAGATGTTATGCCTTATCCCTTCCTTACTTTCTCTTGGGTTCAGTTTGGAGAACTTGTTTAACCACAAGCATCTCACCCTAATCTCGAGTAGCTGATACTCCTTCCCATTCTTCTCATCTCCATAATCTACATTATCTTATGCTTCCATTGCATTTTGCTCTATCAAAACCACATTTTTTTTTGATCGGTTGGATGCTATGTGTCCATACCCATGCCAATTGAAACATTTCTTAGCTATGAATGTCTTGGGTGTGTTGGCATGATCAATTCTTTTTTCTTATGTGCTGATTTCTCGTCTCGAGGGGCACTTCTTGGCACTCTGGTCGGTGTGTTTTTGTTGCCCGATCTAATGGTCGAACCCTATTTGAAGTGGCGCTGATGCTATTTTGCTGCTTCTCTACTTTCAAGGCTAAGGTTTGTATAACTTGCAAGATCCAATAAAAGATCTTAATTCTCTAAGGTACTAGACTATGGTGTTCTCTTCTAGTTCTACGAACTCACACTTTTGTATTGGTTTTTCAAATTCAGTAGTATATTTATCTACTAATATGTCCTGCTGCAAATGGTGAAGCTTAAACCTATCTATAATGTGTTGGGAGGCATTTGCACTTCATCTTCTTCTTTATCTTAAACCAGTTTATGATCTTTTTTTCCCTCATATTAATGCAGACACTTCAAATTGTCCCACCATAGGAAAACATTATTTTTTAACTTAATGACAATTAGCTTCAATCTTCAATTGAGTGTAATTTTGTTTGTATATAAAGACATGTTTATTTATCTAGAGCCACTCAATGAATTTGTCCAAATCAATACAACCATCAAAATTCGATACATCAATCTTCTCTTCAAAGTCACCCTCCCTTCTATATTCAATGTTAAACTAATGCAACATTTGCCCTTTGTCATTCGAGGCTTCTTAGAGGTTGTTTGATTCCCTGTGTTTTTGATGTAAAGTAAACTAAATATTGAGGTTTTTAAAATTTTGATGTTTGGGTGAATGAAAATGAATGCATTGTAAAATTTTAATAAATTTGGACTCACACTATAGTTCAAAATCGACACTTCAAATTCTCCCATTATAGTGAAGCACTATTTTTTAATTTAGTAGGTAGCTTCACTATTCTATTAGGTGAAATGTCCTTAAACTCAAAAATTTGTTTTATTGTTTGGAGTCACCGAATGAATCATCAGATCTATACGAACGTCAAAATCTGGTAAACTAATCTTCACTTCAGAGTTACAATCGCTCATTTGGCTGAACCGATGCAACGTTGGCTCTTCATTTCTTGTGGCTTATTAGGGGATATTTTATTTAATGCATTTTCGGTGTAAAAATTACATGTAGGGTTTTTTTAAATATTGGCGTTCGGAATGAAAAATGATTGTAGTATAAAATTTTGGTGTATATGGAATTCACAATGCAATTTAAAACTTGCATATTATGTTCTCCCACCACTTAAAATCACTCTTTTTTAACTTAATAACAGCTAGCGTCACCCTTTATTTAGGATTGTGTACTCAAGGACTTGATTTACTGTTTGGAACCACTCAATGAATTTTTTTTTTATCATACAACTGTCAAAAGCCGATAAATCAACCTTCACACAGAAGTCACCCTCTTTCCTGCTATACTCAATGCCGAAATGACGCAACATCAACGCTTCATTGCTTGTGGCTTCTTAGGGACTATTTGGTTCCGTGTGTTTATGGTGTAAAGGTAAACCGAATGCAGGGTTTTAAAATTTTGATGTTTGGTTGAATGAAAAAAGAATGCAATATAAAATTTTTTGTTAATTTGACATTCACACTACAATTCAAAATCGGTGTATTCCAAATTCATTAGATTTGATTGATTTTTTAATGCACTGAAAACTGCAGTCGTCACCGCTCTTGTTGGCCACTATTGGTCATCGTCGAATATGTTTTACATTAATTTCTTTTTTCTTCTGAAATAAAAAAACTTGCAATTACTTTAACTCAAACCTAACCTTAAAATATTTCAAATGCACTTAATTTCAATTTCACTATATTCTTTTTACATTGCATTTATTTTTTGAAGAACCGAACAAAAAAAAGGTTTTTTATCTTCTCCATTCAAGTAGTCACTGTTGTTGCTGTGGGTGACTTCTCATGTTCCCTTTTTTCAAAAGGAGCTAGCCATATATTCCTTTGTTCTTGATTAATCCTTTGGGAGTTTCTTCTTGGTAGCATGGTGATTTATTCTCTTTAGTTTCGGTCAAAGTGGCAATGTTGGATCTGGGGTTTTGCTGAAAGTTATATTTAGTTTTAGGTGGAAGGTGCTTGTGTATTTCAAATTGGAAAATTGGTGTATTCCAAATTCATTAGATTTGACTGGAGTTATGGCATGGGTTATGGGTTTAGGGTTTATACTTTGCCACCGAATGACACTGATCTATGGTTTAACAATGGATAAGGATCAAGTGAAGGGTTAGGATGGATGTAGGATAAGAGTAAATGTAAGAGCACCTGAAGAGTGCTTCTGAAGGAATCGGATAGCTACAGCAGCTGTCCTGCGTGAAAACATCCGAGGGAAAGGATGTAGGCAAGCATCCAGAGGTATTCAGAAGTCTACAAGATCTACCGCCTATTCTCGATCAAGTTACAGTCATACCACCTTAAAGTGAAAAAAGTACAACACTTCAAGCAGAGAGAAAAATAGAGAAATAAGTCTCTAATAACATTAAATAAACCAAAAGTGCCCAAAACCATTTCAAAGCAAAATATATAATAAAAATCATACAAGTAACCCTAATTCTAATTATAACAAGTAAATAGAAGCCCTAAGAGGGCTGGCCGGCCCAATAGAGTTTGGGAAAAACCTGAAATGGTTCGGTTCAGGCTTTCCTGAACAATCCATGGACGGACGATCCTTAGGTTCGTTTCTGCTGGAGGCAAAAACTAGAGCTCCCATATCACACCTTCATAAGAATCATCTTTATGATGTTATTTATATAAATATTTTTCAGTGTTGTTTGATGGTAAGGGCCAGCGGATCCTTCAGGGCATCTTAACAATTTCTGGTTGCATTTTTGTTGATAATTAATTCTAAGGGAGTTGTTTTTCTCCACTTGATGTTTCCATGAGAAGCACTGACACGAATCTGTTTCTTCAGAGAGATATCTGGTCATTATAGTAAAAGCTTTGATTATTTCAACCTTCTGTTTTCTTTTTTTCCTCGTTGCAGATGGAAGCTTATACTTCAGCACTCCTGTTGATCCTATTTTCATCTTTTTGCCAATTTTCAGCAATGCGCGATTAAAGGTAAAATTAAGATTAGTCTTGTTTCTTTTGCTGAAAGCATTTCATGATTAAACGAAGCCAGAAAAAAATGTGGAGTATTCTCTTAAAAACTTACCATGTGCAAAATCTCGAAACCAAACATTAGCTTTCGGCATTACTTAGGCCTGCGATTTCAGCAAAAATAAAACATCTTACTTATGATTTAATTCTATTGTGGTTGCTTTGTAACGTCTATTCATTGGCTATATATTTTATTTCCTAAATAATGTGATTTTTATTATTGTTCACCAAAAGAAAACTACTTGACCTCCTGCATATAGATGCAAGCTTTTAAGTTTTTTGTATGTAACTGTTCGCCATGCTAAGCTAGCGGTTAACGTTTGCATGCAGTAGCTGGTGGTTGCTGTTGATGATAATATTTGCTGGGAAGGGCTGTATGTCTGTTTGTTACCCTGCAATGATTAAAATGTTTATAGTTCATGTTGGTGGGGCTTCTATGTTGGCACAATAAATGGCTTTTCTTATGAAATTTTGTTTTTGAACGGAAGTGCAGTGGAACAGCAGACAGCTCCTTTCGTGTTTTTGATTGAACACAGGTTACGTGCAGCTAAACTATTGGTTATCTTTCCATCTTCCCTGTTAACCACAAAACACTTAGACTCTTGCAATATCGAAATCACATGCTTAAATTTCCTATACAGAAATCAGTGCAGTTAACAAATTTTTCGTAACAGCAAAATAATTAGTAAATCTTATGAGATTGGAGAATTTAAGAATCTGTACTTACCATGCATGAATTGTAAAGAAAACTATCAAATTAAATAAGAATTTTATCAAAATTGGGTAACATAAGCGCATAACTGCATGTAGGGATGCATCGAATTCAATATTTTCTATAGTCTATGGTACTGAAGTTAACTCAAACAATAATAGGAAAATCAAAAGTTCTCCTATCTAATACAAAGATTAAATATGGTTTATTTTACCTGGGTTCCAAGTTCCCTAAAGAGGCAAGCCCCTATAGTTAATTACATCCCAAATGACGGGAGTCATTTGAGAAAAACTCTCGATAATGATCAATGGTTCTAGTCTTCAAAAATTCAAAGTTTAGGTTTTCAAGGTAGGACGTGGAAAAAGGCAAGTGAGAGTGGCTCAAATAAGAACAGTTATTTCAGGAGTCCAAATAAAAGAGAAGGTAGGGGATGTCACTGATTCGAGGTAAATCTCGATGACTTCCCAGACTATCCTACGGTGTGGCTACATTTTTAGAGATGATGTTATTTGAATGTTCAATCCTGCCAATTTTATTAATGACGGCTGCAGCGACTGGTTTGCTGGGGATTGCAGGACAGCATGAGGACAGTTGTACGGGGCTTGCAGCAGCTAGGACAGGCGGTTGAAATTGTAAAACTGCAGTGAAAACAACAACCGGTTTCTGTTTGGAGGTGCTGCAGCAATGGAGATTGGACATGGGAAGGATGCAGAAGTGGACAAGGAATACAATCCCCACCACCTCAGGAGCGAGATACAGCCGGAACAACAGTCAAACTCTGGGATACAACTCTCAAAGGGAAAAACAGAACAACCGGTTTCTGTTTGGAGGTGCTGCAGCAATGGAGATTGGACATGGGAAGGATGCAGAAGTGGACAAGGAATACAATCACCACCACCTCAGGAGCGAGATACAGCCGGAACAGCAGTCAAACTCTGGGATACTACTCTCAAAGGGAAAAACAGAGACGTTGACAGTTGTCTTGACAAAAAATACACTAAAACTAAACCTAGAACATTCGGAACACAAATATAGAACCCTAGGATAATGAGGAGTGGCTCAAGAGGACTGACCGACTCTACAATATCAAAAAATTTGGACTGGTTCGGTTCAAGTATGAAAACAGGAGCTGTTTCCATCACGAGACTTCCCACATCACGCTTCAATTGCTTGAGCTCATCACAACCCGTGCTAGTTTATACCAAATAAAGCTTATGTTTGAAGATTCAAAAAATAGTAGGCCTAATCTGCAAATGCTGTTAGCTTCTAGACAATTTTGTATAATTCTCTTCTAGGTCCATAAATTTAGCTTTGAAACAATCTTTTTAAAATGCAGATAATATCTTGTAGCATATTTATATTTGTGTATACCGTTAAGAACATATCATTAGTATGTCTACTTTTTCTGTTTTTTGGCTTCCAATTAAGAAGTGTAAACTTCAGAATTAGACTTATTATACTTGAAAATTAAGCGCTTAGAATTTTGAATATTTTGCTCAATCATCATCATTTCAAAGAGTTATGTATTGCAACGCTATGCGTGGAAGTTTTATGAGCATTAAAGAATTAAATATTCAAATATTAAAATGATTCTTAAAATGTTTCGGTTAAGCAACTTTCCTTGAATCATACTGTCAAAGATAGGAAAAAAACACTAGTCAGTCCACTAGGAGCAGAAATAACAAGCCTTTTGAATTCTTATCATAAGCTTTAAGAGTATGCATCACCTTCTCCTTGTCACAAACATGATCACCAATATGAGCAAACTCATTGTCGAAGATAGAGATCTTGTTGTTATATTTGATCCCATGTATTTTTTTTTTGATCGAGTCATTGATGTTCACATCTTAATTTCATGACTGTCGTCATAGATAATCCTGAATAATTGTGACATGAATTGTGCCATATCTCTTTGGAAGACTTGACAGGAACAACTTGACTCAACTTATTTGGAGAAAGTAGACTTGATCCATTCAATTAGTAATTGATCTTGTGCAAAGCATTCTTTTAAACCAGCACATACGGCTCCGTTCAAGACTGGGTATCTTTGAATTTAGTCTTTTGCTAGTTTTTATTGTGGGGTATAAATAAGGCTTAATATGTTTAGGGTTAGGCTATATGTGTTATTACCTTGAATTTAGGGTTAAATTTGTGAGAGATTGCATATCTCTTGAATTGTAGGTGTTTATCTTTTATGTATTCGGGATCGAAGTCTCATGATCTCCCAATTGCGGGATCCTACCAGCTTGTAGAATCAGGGAGACTGAATGAGTTGTTTTCACTTGGTTGCCAATTTTTGCGAGAATTGTTATCATTTTTTCCTAATTTCTTATTTTTATTATATCTAATAAGGATAATCTTTTATTAGGTTTATTTACATGTTATTTTCTTGTTTAGCAGGCTTGAGTTTTGTTTGTGTTTTAGAGATTGTATCTCTGCTTTCAACCTTTAAGGAGTGTTATAACCTTTTCCTTTTGCATGTATTATGTCTGTATTCTCCTCAGGAATTGGTGTGAACCTTCTTGTTTCCTGTACTGCACTGTTTTATCATCCGCCTTGTTGTTTTCAGCACGGAAAGCTGTTGAACAGCTCAATATGTTGTCCAACAATACATTTCATCACTTATCCTCCTCTAAACGACATCGACCTCGCATAATATTATTCCTTTGTTATTCTCCAACCACCTCCACTCAAAATCCTTTTCCTGAACTCCTTTCAAGAGCCCTAGAATGATGTCATATGGTATTAGAGTCCGACAAACCTTAGATTTTAAAGAATTTGTCTTTCTTGGCCCAAATTCAAAATTCTAAAAAAAAAATCTCAGACATACCCAAATCATTCTACCATAATTCCTAGGCTTAACCTAATTTTTGAAATTCAACATTCCTACCGTCAACAAAAATTCACCTACCACCAAAATCGAAGCTCCCCGACCAACGTTTGATTTGCAATCCTACGTCCACCAAAAACCTGATCAGGAGCAGATGACGCCACACATCCAAGGAGAAGCCTTCAACGAAATGTCCAATGACCTACTATGGAGAATATGCATTAGGAAATCCTTCAATTCTTCAACTGTAACAATGGTTTGCCGCCTTTGATGATAGATAATCCGGTGAGGTCACCCATAATCATAACGGTGACTTGTCAGATCGATTGTGGGAATTGAATTCCTTTCATCGAGAAGTTTTTCGGTGACAAATAACAAATATCCTAGCAATTTGGCATGTAATACTAGAGAAGTTAGGTTCTTGGAGTAAATGTGGATTTAATGAATTTTAACGGTGACATGAATCCGAACGAGTTCATTGAGTAGCTTTAAACAATGGTTGTGTCTTTGAGTACAAAGACCTCCAATAAGACAACATGGTAAAACTAGCCGTCATTGATTTAAAGAAGCATGCATCTAAAATATAATAAGAAAATTTAATTAAATTTTGATTTTCGGTTTGTTCGGTTAAATGAGAACTCAAACCAAACAAATAAATTGAAAACTAAATATTAAGGTTCTAATTATTAAAAACCAAAATACATTTTTGAAACCGAATTGAATCAATCAAAATTATTCGATTCGGTTTGGTTTTTCAGTTTTGACCAAATATTGCACACCAAGAGCCGCTTGGGTTTAGGATCGTGCAATTGACTCCAATATTATGTGAGGGCATAAAAGGGGCTCACGGCTTGGGGTTGCATGTGAGGCAGGGAGGCGAGCAAGGAGCGAAGAGGAAGATAGGCAAGGTTCTGCTCTTTACGTGCAGCTGGGCTTGCAAACAGGGAAGGGTGCAAGAGAGGGCTTTGGTGAGTGGTGTAGGCGAAGGACCAAGCTGGTGAGTGCGTGATAATAGGGCAGGGAATAAGACTGGTTGAGGGCAGTTCAGTTTCTGGCTTACAAACTAGAGAGTGGAGTGTTTTCATGAAACTGTCCACGGGAGGAGAAGAATAAAATATTGAATAAAGTGGCAACAGGTAGCAGGATCTATGGGCAGGTGCAGTTACAAGTTTTAATTTTCTTTAAACAGTCGACCATTATTAAAACAAATCTATATCAATTAACCCAAAAATATAATTTTTACCTAGGAAGACATTTTTCTCATTCAAACTTATAAACTTAACAATCTAAATACAAACTTGATTTGCAGAAGGAATCACAAAAAAATTGATATTTACCTTCTAAGCCTTCTCAACTTCTCGCTTCTTCCTCCCTCCTCTCTTTCAGCTTTAAACAGGTATGGTTTTTCTTTAATAGTTATCACAAAATTCAACTCACTCGCTTTTTTATACAATTTTTTATCACTGCAATTAGATGTCGTGAACATGTTTTTTTTGGCTGTTGAAATGATTGTTATTTCTTGTTTCTGTATAATTATATTTTGTTTTATTTTTATGATTTCTTCTTTGCCAGCCTTTTTAGTTCTTTATATGTGCTTTTTTATGCTTTTAGAATTATTACTGATTATTGGATAGCAATGTCCTTGAAAATGCAGAAGGGAAAGGAACAAGGAATGTTTAGGCAAATTGATGAAATTTTATTTAATAATGACTATCCAAGCTACCAGTGCCTGGTGTCACTTGCAGAACAATCTATGCAGTTGGTTTGCGAGGTTAAAGGTAACCCCCTTTATTTTATTTCAAGAGATTCAATGTGGATTTCATAGTAACTTATTATTGATCTACAGGCAATTGATTGATGAAGTAACCGCTCCTTTTCTGTTCTTGAGCTGAGCACTACTATTTTATTTGAAAATTTCTTGTCACATCTTCAGTAAATAAATCTTTTATGGACAGTAATGAAGAAAATCTATAGAGGTTCTGAAACATTAAATTAATATTTGTTAGCGTTAGAAGTTATTAGTATTGATTTATTTTCTTTCCGGTTATTTTCTATTTGTTAGAAGTTATTGGTATTGATTTATTCTCTTATCAGTTATTTTCTATTTCATGTATTCCCTACTTTGTCTTTTCTTTTATGTCAGGGTAGTTATTAGGAAAATAATTAGTTCAGATTGATATGAGGGTTATGTTTTTTCTATTTTATAATTCATGTAACCTTCATTTATATCCCTTTTCATATCATTGAAATTATCTTGCTCAATTCCTAAAATCTACATGTTATTGGGGCCACGAGATTTAACCCAAGCTAGCAGGATTCTTCTCCAGCCATCGAAATCTTCGCCTGCTGGTCTATAGCTGCGTGTCCTCCCTTCTCCAGACGCTGGACTCCCTTTTTACAACTAAACTTCCTGTTGGACCTTCCCTAAGTCAGCAACCGGACCCCCTTTGTGCAGCCAATTTTCTTCCCTGCAGGTTTTCCTGAGCCAAAATCCTTCTAATCGCCGAACTTCCTCCCAAGAACCGCTAAACTCCTTTTTTGCAGTTGAATCTTCATTTTGCCTAACCAGATCTCCCTAGTGCTGATTAGAGATCCTTGCAGTCCTTGTTCGTTGGTAGCCATGTCTCGACATCCAAACATCTCCTTTGGCTCCATCGTAGCCATGGATGATTTCTGAACAACAGAGGTTCTGTCTGACACAGTTTTTGAATCTACTGGAGGATCTCCATCCATCCCCATCCCTCCGCAGACTGGAGGACTTGAAACCAAAGGAATTTCCCGATTACCACTCAATGGCTCCAATTTCCTTAAATTGTCTCAAGTTGTTTTGTTGTTCGTCAAAGGTAGGATTAAATTTGGTCACCTTACGGGAATGATTCGTGAATCTCAGATGACTAACCCAACATATGTTGCGTGGGAAGTGAAAAACTCCATAGTTATGTCATTGTTGGTTAAAGACCTTTATTGGACGTTCTTACCTGTTTTCTTCCGTTCGTAAGTGTCATCTGGACTATTATTCGTGATACCATCTCGGTTGTTGGTAATTCTGGACAACTCTATGATCTTTCTAATAAGATCTGCGAGGCTAAAAATGGGTTGAAGACGTTGACCCAATACTACAATGACTTGGTTGCTTTATGGATGTAATGTGACCTCTGTTATGACTACACTTGGGACTCACGTGCAGATCATTTCATTTTCCAAATAATCTTGAAAAGAAGCACATGTTTCGATTTCTGGCAGGTCTGAATAAGAACTTGATGAAGTTCGCGACTGTGCTGATTCTGACCCTCTTCAACCTGTATATTTTTCACGGAGGTCTTGTCATGCTCAACAACTCAACTCTTCAACCGAGTCGTCATCCTGTGTCTTCAACAATACTCCACTCTACCATACCGTTGTGAGCCAATCACTCCACATTTGACTTTTGCTACAAACCCTACTATACTCATGACAAGTGTTGGAATCTACATTAGAAACCAACAAATAGTCTTCAACCAAATCTTCTGCGCGAAAGGCCTTGCCACGACCTTAGAATCAACTATTATTCAGCCGATTCATACTCGGACCATTTTCCGCTCACCAGACACTATTAAGAATCAGATGAAACACTTGATTAAGTAGCTTGGTTTTAGTTCTCCTTCGGCCCATCGACTTCTCATGTCCGTCAAGGTAATATCTCTATGGCACTCGCCGGTTTTCCTTATTCTAACTCGTGGATTATTAATTTAGGTGCCACAAACCACATGATTGGGTGTTCTCACTTTTTCTCGATATTCTCTCCGTGTTTCGGGCGAGATTCTGTTAAAATTACCAACGACTCATATAATTCCATTGGCGTAAAGGGTCGGTTGTATTAACAACAGGGTTGACATTGGGATCCATATTACATCTTCCTTTGCTTAAGTGCAACCTCTTGTCAGCCAGTAAGTTAACATGTGACCTTAATTGTATTGTTCATTTTTCTTATAATGTTTGTGCCTTTTAGGATTATTGTATGAGGAAGATGATTGGAATTACTAAATGGGTAGCAAGACTCAGTTTTTTTCAAGAAAATTACATGGATAATATTGACAATCAATATCGTAGTTGTAGTTTTTCATTTTTAACTGCATGTCCAACTATGCGTTTACATTATCTTTTGGGTCATCCCATCTTTAAATAATTATACCTTTGATGTTTATTGATAAATATCCATCTTCTTTTAATTGTGAAATTTATCAATTAGCTAAACATCAATGTGTACCATATTCATCTCACCCTTACACTTCTTCCTATCTTTTCTCACTTATTCATAATGACTTAAGGGGATCCTCTCGAACTCAGAGCTATAGCAATAAGCAGTCATTTCTTACTCTAATTAGTAACCACACTAGAATGATTTGAGTCTATATATAAAAGATAGATATGGAGTTCTGGTTATTTTTAAATATTTTTACTTATTCATTTTGACCCAATTCAAAGCCTCTATTCAAGTCCTTCAGACCGACAATGGTTGTGAGTACTTTAACTCTGTATTAGGAGAATCTTGGTTATTAAGGTCATCCTCCATCATAGCTTCTGTATGGATATCCCTCAACACAATGGGATAGTCGAGCGGGAAAATAGAGATCTTCTCGAAGTTGTTCATTTTTGTATGTTTCAAACTAATGCTCCTAAAAGTTTTTTGGTTGATGTCGTCCTTATTGCCACCTACCTCACCAATAGAGTTACCAAAAAGATACACAACTTTCGGATCCCTCTATCCATCTTGATGTTTTGCTTTTCTACCAATAAGTTCTTCTCCACATTAGATCCTAAAATATTTAGATGCATGACCTTTGTTCGGAGCGCTTTCTTAACCTCTAGTAAACTTGATTCTCGCTCAATTAAATGCGCCTTCTTCAGCTATTTCACCAGTTAAAAAAGCTATTGGTATTTTAATCTAGCACCAATAAAATCTTTGGCAGTGCAGACATCTTATTTTTTTCAAAGTCCCTTTCTCCCTTAACACTGCCTTAAGTGAGAATGAGCTTGAATTTTTGGACACTATTTCCTTTTTGACTATGTTGGACATTCTACCTAATTCTACGACCACGATGTCCGAGGAACCCTCAACTCCATTGGATTTGCCACCAGCCAGACCAACATCACCATCATCCTCTCTGTGTGTCTATAATCATCGTACAAAACCCTTTGTTGAGACTCTTCCCAATGCTCCTATCGTTGAGCCCGCTGCCCATTGCAGGGCTTGAAGTCCGCTCTAACTGACGTCCCCGGAATGATGCTTTCTCAACTTATGGGGTCTCTCCTGAACCGAGTAAAGAGTTGAATTCCCCCATTTAGGTAAGCAAACAAGTATGATCTTGCACTCATTTTCCCATGACGAAATACGTCTCATCCGATAGCTTATCTCCGATCTGCAAAGCATTTGTCACATCCTTGAAGGATCGTTCTTCTATCCACTATTGAGGCAACATTGGTTGATCCATTCTGGAAGGCTGCTATCATGGACAAGATGAATGCTCTTCAATGAAACCATACCTGGAATGTGGTTGATCTTCTCTGAGAAATAAAATGGTGAGTTGTAGGTGGATTTTCTGCACCAAATTTTACTTCGATGGATCCTTTGAACACAACAAGGTGCAGTTGATCGCCAAATGATATTTACAAACTTATGGGGTTGACTATTAAGAGACATTTGTTCTGGTAGCTAAACTAAATACCATTCGGGATTTGTTATCCCGAGCTGTGAATATTGATTGGTCTTTGCTTAAGTTGAACTTAAAAAAATGCTTTCTTTAACGACGATCTCGCTGAGATGTATATGTCTCTCTCACCAAACTTTGACTCTATGTTTTCTTGTTAACAAGCGCACCGATTGCGTAAGTCTATCTATGTCTTGAAACAATCTCCACTAGCCTAGTTCAACAAATTTACGTAAGTTGTAGTGGGCCATGGTTTCTCTCAGGCCCAGTCTGATCATACACTGTTTTTCCCCCATTCTTCTGGTGACCTTATTGTCATCATTATCATCTATGTCGACAACATCGTGCTCATATGTAACTATCATTCGGCCTTGGATTATCTCAAAGACACACTGACCACATCTTTTGAGATGAAAGACTTATAGTATTTTCTAGGAATTGAAGTAGCTCAGTCCTCTCGGGCATTGGCCTTTCCCAACGTAAATATGTGATAGATTTACTGACTGAAACTAATCAACTTCTTTGCTAACCGGTAGGTGTTCCGATGGACCCCAATGGGAAATTGACAGAATTTCCATTGGTTCTTCCGGTGAACAAAACACTCAACCAATGCCCAGTAGGTAAACTCATTTATCTCACCCATACACTCCCAAATATTTTTCACGCGGTTAGTATTGTAAGTCAGTTTATGCATGACCTCTACGAGCACCATCTCACGACTTTCTATTAGATCCTCCACTACTTAAAAGACACGCTAGGAGCAGGTTTGTTGTTCTCTCGTCGCACCTCTCGCTATGTTGTAGTTTATATGTATGTTGATTGGGCCGGGTCCATCCAAGATCGACGTTCTATCATAGGTTATTGCTCATTCGTGTGGGAAAACCTTGTCATGTGGAAAATTAAGAAACAATATGTGGTTGTACTTAGCAGTGTTGAAGCCTAGTTTCCTTTTGTCATTAAGGGTGTGTTAAGCCCTCTAGTTACACATCATACTCCGCGAGTTACGTATGCTGGTCACTAATCCTCTGTAAACCTTGTCATGTGGAAAATTAAGAAACAATATGTTGTTGTACTTAGCGGTGTTGAAGCCTAGTTTCCTTCTGTCATTAAGGTTGTGTTAAGCCCTCTAGTTACGCATCATACTCCGCGAGTTACGTATGCCGGTCACTAATCCTCTGCAGATGTTTTATGAAAATAAAGTCACTATCAACATTGCTTATGATTCGTTCCACATGATCGTAACAACTATGTGGAAATTGACTTTCACTTTATCATGGAAAAAAATATTCTAGAGAGATTTGTGATGTTTGTTCTCTCCACTGACCATCTGGTAGTAGGGCTGTCAAAATGACTCGTTGCTCGCAAACAGCTCGTGTTCGATTCGTTCGCCAAGCAAATGAACAAAAAATGAATAATTTATTTGCACTCGATATATAAACGAGCTGAACACAAACAAAATTTCGTTCGTTTGTTTTCAACTCGTTTTGGCTCGAAATTTTATATATATATATATTTATATATTTATATATAATTGATATGAGTACTATTTTTAAATATATTTTTAAATATTTTAATTGACTACAAGGCTACAAAGATTTTTAATCAATTAAATTTAGTTAAAAAAATAGAATAAATATATTTAAATTCTATTTAATTGAGCATTTTAGTATAAATAATAAGATGTAAATCTCGCCTCTTCCCTTCACATCCTACAACTGCGTGACTCGGGTTATCAAAATGACTCATTGTTCACATACAACTTGTGTTTAGCTCACTGAGCAAACGAGCGGAATATAGTAAAATTTTTTGAGCACGATATATGAATGAGCTGAACACAAACAATGTTATTTTTTCACGAGCTGAATAAGAGCAGAGCTTGGGCTCACTCAAGCTCGGCTTGTTTACACCCTTAACTGACAAGATATTCTCATAAAGAATATTCTTCTGTTGTTATTTGACTATTTCAAATCCAAGTTGAACATGATTGACATATATGCTTCAACTTGAGGGGAAGCTTCAGAAGTTATTAGTATTTACTTATTTCCTTTCCAGTTATTTCCTATTTGTTAGAAATTATTATTATTGATTTATTTCTTTTCTGATTATTTCCTATTTTATGTGTTTTGTTTTATCTCCGGGTGGTTATTAGGAAATGAATTGATTCCTAATGATATGAGTGTTATGTATTTCCTATTTATATTTCATATAATATGTTTTTTACCACTTTTCATATTAATGAAATTATCCTGCTCAATTCCTAAAACCTACCGTTAGAATTAATGGCTAATATACTAATGGCATATTAATTTTTCTACTCCTTATATCGACAAGACTATTTATCCTCACACAAGTTAAATAGAAACTCGAGCATAGGGTCAAAATAACTCAAACATAGGCTATTGCTAGTATGTCCTTCCAACTTTTTAAGAACAGCGCATTTAGCCAAGTTGGAGCCTAGTGATATCGCTTGAAGTAGAGAACATCAAAGAAATACAATAAACAGTCATCAAAACTATTTCTAATTTTGCAAAGCAATGATTTCTTCTTTTTTTTTTTTGAATTGCAATTTCTTTGCTACTTGATATCTTTCTTTTTTATCAATTCAGAGCCTTTATTGCTACATCATGAAACTTCATTATCATGTTTTGCTCTAAAGATAAATATATTTAGAAATTACGCCCATTCAGTAAAAAAACCTTTAGCTTCTGATTTGACACATCTTGCTGCCGTTCCATTGTTTTTCAAAAAAGGTCTCACTTATATCCATTATCAGAATTCTGTTAATTTTATTTAGTGCTTGACCTTTAATTTTTTATTCTTTTTGGTGATATATTAAGGCATTTAGGAATTATCCTCCCTAGCTCATGCTCATTTATAATTTTTGTTTGTACCTCCGGTTATTGGTTTTCATTATTGAACACCCATTCCACTATTTATATATTTTACCATGTCAGATTTTTTTTTTTTTGCACTAAAAAAAAGCAATAATTTTATGATTAATTAAATTGCAGCAGTAAAGGCTGTTTTCCTCTCAACCATCATTTGGAGCATGAAAATCAAAATAGCATTATTAAGCAAGCCTTTTTTTTGCCTATATTGTACAAGCTTCTTGCTTTCTGGGTGCTGCGTTGCTCTTCTTGTCCACAAGAAATTTATGCATTTTTTTGTCCTATCTCAATTTAATTCATTCTCATGTTTGTTTTTCAGAAATCGGTTCATCAAAGTTTTTCAGGCTGGATGATTCAAAGGTTTTATGTTGGCTGTGCTGTAAGGTGCTACCATTTTTTTTCCTAACAAAATTTCATATCCAGACTCTCTTATATTCTTTAACGACCTTCAGATGTGGAGTGTAGAGCTCTATAATTTGTTATTAGCTCAAAGTAAACCGAAATTGTGGACCTTATGCCTGCTAACTGCCATTTTTCTTTATTTTTCTGAGGAGTTTCCGGACACATTGCCTCTGCATTTTCAGTTTTTATTGCAATTTTTTTTCCCTTCATTTGGTTTTGTAGGTTTCGGTTTGAGTTGACTTCACATTTGAAGCCAATCATCCAGAACTTTTCTAAGGCCTTCTCAAGCTTCCCGTCGTAGAGCATAAAAAATATATAACTATCATAATAATTATAAAGATGACCTATTTTGTAAAACAACCCCTTTTAACTTGTTTAAATTATTTAAATTAAAGATTTAATAGTGGGAGGTTTCACAATAGAATGTTGTTGGTTTACTTCATTTTGGAAGCCATTTTTTTATTCTATTTCAAGTGCCTATCTTAGAACCTGCAAAAGTATGTATCTATTATAGTAATGACTTGGCTATCCCCCTCATATATGGCTTAAATTATGAAAATCAAAATTTTAAATAAGTTCTTCATTTTTTATGAGTACATTTAACTTTGTTATGGAAAGTCATAAATCCAAATCTTGTATATTGGGAAACTTGATATGAGACAGCCTAACTAGAGGAGATCTAATTACAATATCTTTTTTATATTACAATTATTTGAAATCTTGAGAGCTGAGAATGTGTATAAATATGTAATATATATTTTCAATTGTGAACAATAAAGGAAGCTGTTTTTTTCACATGGTATCAGAGCTTCGTTAAATTGTTCCTGTCTGCCACTTGTCTTCGATGTTAGCCTTTGGGAATTGTTCGTCTTCATTTGCGGCTCTAGCTCAGTCCGACTTTGTCGACTGCTTCCTGCGACATTATCGTCTGCTGCTCAGGGTCATTCCGACTTCGTCGAAGTCTTCGATTGCTTCCTACGGCATCATCATCTGCGTCTTGGGCTCGCTTCAACTTCATTGAAGTCTTCCACTACTTGCCGCGACATCATCTGCGCTCGAGTTCGTTCCGTCTTCGTCAAAGTTTTCAACTACTTACTGCGACATCATCATTTGCGGCTCGAGCTCATTCCGGCTTCGTCGAAGTCTTTGAATTCTTCCTGCGATTCATCTACTTCGAACGTCATCTGCATTTATCTTGAAGCATCAGTTGCATCATGTTGTTGTTTGCTTGCTCGATCTGAGTCGACAAGATTAGGGAATCAACGAAGTCGACACCTCCTTAGGTCAATTTCCTCGATTGCTATGTTATGTTGTCTGCTTCTTTTACTTAGGTTGATTTCATCGTTTGCTGTGTTCGACTTTTGTTTGGCTTTCCAATTCTAATTTTTTCGTTTATTCGGTAATCATTCTAGTTATTTGTCTCATAGTGCTTTGAAAATTTGTTCTTTAGCATGGAATGAAATCAATTATAACCGGTTAACACAAACACCTTGTGACAGGTTCAGTTTCATCAGTGGCTAAGATTACAAAAACTTAATTGATCCGGTTAACACAAACACCTTGTGACAGGTTCAGTTTTATCAGTGGCTAAGATTACAAATGAGAACTTAATTGAAATCAATTATTTTATTGGAATAAAATTGTGAGACTCTATCTAAGGAGTATTTATCAAGACTCACTTCATTGATAATTCTCCACTTGGGAGTGAGCCACATTATTATGAGTGGATGAGAGTGAATGCTCGACTATTGATAAAAATATAGAACTCTATTGAACCTGATTAATCCGGTCATATCACTTGAAGACTAGACCTCACTAAAAATGAGGTCAACATCCGGTCATATCACTCAATTGAGACTGTTAAAGTTGTTTTAGAGGATTTGACGTTTGTGTTTTATGGAAGAAAATATCTCTCAAATTTTTGATGTATGCAATGAGCTTTATTAAGTTGGACAATATAATCGGTCACTTAACACGTATGACATGCACTTTAAACAGGTGTACGAAGAATTGAACGCACTAATGCCTTTCAATATTGATATCGGGATTCAACAAGGCTTGAAGATAACAAATGGTTATTATGAGTTTTCTAATAGACCTCAAATCTCAATATGAACGTGTCAAATCACAGATATTATGTGACCCTGAATGTACTACTCCGAGGGAAACTTGTACTAGAGTACTGCGTAAAATGCTGAGTTGTCAGACCTCATCTGCACAACAACTTAGTGCTTTTATTAGTCAGAAACATAACATACATCGTTAAACCTTAGTCTCAGGACATTTACAGAAGTGAAACTCAAAATTTGGAAACCAAGGGTCAAAGTTAGTGTGCTAATACTATGATGATTCTAGTCACGGAGAGAACATGTTTGAAGTTGCTGAAAAAGAACCAAAAGGGTTCTAAATCACAGTCAGCTCACATGGTTACTACTAATGAGTTTTTTTTGAGTTAGATTTTCTCGATCTCTGCTGGTGAATATGCTAAGTTCATCAAGTTTCAGGAAGCATCCAAGAAATTCTTATCCATCACTGCCCTTGCTGAGTCAGGTAAGAATGATACATGTCATCTTTCCTCTTCCACGCAACGAGTCATTGATTATGGTACTACAAGTTATATGAAGAGTAATCCAAAACTCTTTTCTACCTTTCATAAGCAGATGTCTTCCGTCACCCTAACAAATGGATCTATTTCTAATGTCCTTGGTTCTGGTACCATCAATATTACACACATCTCAGTTTACCTCATCTTTGCTTTTAATCTTGATTCTTTCAGGAAAAATACACGTGCTCTTAATTACTGTATCTTATTCTTTCTCGATCATTGCCTATTTCATGATCTCATGACAGAGAAGATTATTAGTAAAGAATGAGATTAAGAGGGCTATACATTTGGATAATGAGGTATCTCGCTCTTTAGCCTGTTCCAACACTATCTTTTTTTGAGATTCATTGTAGATTATGACATTCATCACTATCAATACTGAAAAGTTGTTTCCTCAGCTTAAGTAGTTTTCATCTTTAGATTATTAGTCGTGTTAATTTGTTAAGCACCATCATTTGCATTCCAGAGTTAATAAAAGAGTAAGTCATAGTTTTAAGTTGGTTGATTATGATGTGTGGGGATCTTGTGCTATTTTATCTAATGGTTTTAGATATTTTCATTTTTATAAATGATTTTTCTCGTATGAATTGGATTTTTTGTGAAATCTCATATTGAGTTACTGTCACATTTGATTCCTTTTATGTCGAAATTAAAACTTAATTCAATGTTTTAGTTAAGATTCGAGAAGTGACAATGCCAAGGAATATTTTTCTGCACAATTTCAAAAGTACATACCAAGATGAGATGCTTCACCAATCATCCTATGTTTATGCTCCATCCCAAAATAGAGGAGCTGTGAGAAAAAAAATAGACATCTTCTTGAGATGGTTAGAACCATTTTGTTTCAAATGAATGTGTCTAAATAGTTATGGGTCGATGTAGTTTCTACTGCATGTTTTTTGATCGATTGGATGTTTTATTGTTCTACAAACCCATACGCTCGACCAAGTTTTTTTTTTTCAGCTAGCTTTCCCATTCCTATTGAATGACACATATTTGGACATACCTGTTTTGTTTGTGATACTCGTCCAAAAATTTCTAAAGTGGACCCTAAGACATTGAGGTGTGTCTTAATAGGATATTCTTGTCTACCAAAAGTGTATCGATGTTTTTCCTCTCTTAAACATGTACATGATTTATGCTGATGTTACCCTTTATGAGAAAACCCCATTTTTTGTTACTCATCGGTGCCTAAATCCTCATAAGATTCTGATGAGTTGTTATTGTATCACATAGTAAGTTCAAATTCTGCTCCAACTCCACCTCTAGTGCCTCATCCTAGATTAACTATCACTAATATTTACTCGAGAAGACCTTTTTCCCCTGATCCTAGCCTGACACCAATACCATCTTCCTCTGTGGATCCTCCCTTAGTGACCTTGATTTACTTATTGCCCCTCTAAGAGATAAACGTGAATGTGTCTATCACATTTTCTCTTGTGTTAAATATAATTAGTTATCTTCAAATTCTTGCTGGTTTGGTGCTTCTCTTGATTTTGTTGAGGTTCCAAGATCTGTTCAGCAAACGTTATCTCATTATGGATGGCGGGCAACGATGCTTGATGAGTTGAGCCCTTTAACTGAAAATGGAACTTGTGAACAAGTTGAACTATCTTATGGCAAGAAGCCTATTGGCTGTAAGTGTGTCCTAGCATTTTTGTTTTAGTTTGATGGATCTGTAACTCATCTCAAAGCTCAGTTGGTTGTTAAGGGCCATACTCAAACTTATAGGATCAAGTACTTGGACGCCTCTCTGATAGCTAAGTTGAAATTGTATCGCCTACTTCTGTCCTTGGCGGCAATAAATAATTGGCCTCTGCACCATTTGGTTGTGAAAATTTTTTTCTGCATGGTGATCTTTTGGAAGAGGTATACATGGAGCAACCTCCTAGGTTTTTTGCTCACAAGGAGTCTAGGAAAGTATGTCGTCTTCAAAAGTTCTTCTATGGATTGTAGTGAAGTCTTCAAGCATGGTTTGTTCAAAAGTTCTTCTATGGATTGTAGTGAAGTCTTCGAGCATGGTTTGAAAATTTTGCGAAGTGGAAGGGTGGTTTGGGAGCAGAAAAGTAGAAGCAATTACACTGTATTCTATAAGCAACCTGTTTCATAAATTATTCTGTTGGTGGTTTATGTTGATGATAATATTATTACTGGAAGCGATGCACAGAGAATTGATATGGATCAAATGTGAAGCACCGACGAATCACACATATTATGCATGTCGTTCAACTAATATACGAATCAGAGTCCACATATCGATCCAATAAGGAACGTGCGAATTCTGATTTGTATAATACAAAAATTTTGATCAGTATCCCTCTTGTGAGTTTGTGATCTCCACTAAAAGTCTCCGTAGTCTTCCTCGGACATTCCTCCG